TTGTGCTCAAAGGGGTTTGAAATTGTAGAAGCAGCTTGTTTGGGGGTTGGTCTTTTTATAATTTGAAACCAAATCTTCCCCATCCCCCAGCTGTTAAAGCTTGGAAATAATGAAGTCTTAACTCCTGACACTCTCCTGGAATTGGAGAAATTTAAAAGACCGATAACCTTTCCACCCAACTTTGTAAGTAGCTTTTGAGACTGAAATCTGCTGCTGGAGCTGCTCTTGTCTGCTGAGCCTGAGCCCCAGGCAGGTTTGTACAATAGGTTATGAACCCTCAGTAATAAGGATTTATAATGGGAATCCTGCTATATTCTTAATTATAATCCTGCTGCATGGTGTCATTATAGTGCACTAATGCCCTCCATATGGCAGATAGTGTGCGCTTGGTTCTGTGTGGTTTTATTTAATTACAGACATTTATTCGAGGAACTTCACTGCTCAGAGTCTGATGCCTATGCAGGTGCACTGCAGGTCCTCCTCCTGGTGCTCAGGAGTCTGGTGATTTTTAAGCTGCCAGTTTGGGAAGGGGCCACAGAGGAAGCAAAAAACATTGACCCACACAAGGTAGGGAAGCCCTGGCACAGGTTGCCCAGGGAAGCTGTGGCTGCCCCATCCCTGGAAGTACCCAAGACCAGGCTAGACAGGGCTTGGGGCAACCTGGGATAGTGTCCCTGCCCATGGCAGGGAGTAGGAGTGGATGAGCTTTAAGGTCCCTTCCAACCCAAATTGCCTGAGGATTTTAATTCACTCAGGGTGACCATGCTGTGTCCTTGGGCCCTGATCCTGTGAGCAGAGACTGACGACAAACTTTGGCATTTGCATTGATGCTGACTGTATGGTGAGGTTTTGTGAAGCCACGTGCAGAAAGCTCCAGGAGCATCAAGTTGCCTCCAAGACTGGGTGTCACCCTGACAGTGATGGTCAGTCTGGTGCTGTCCAAACAAGGCACCTGCCCTGTGTGTGGGTAGACAGCCTGTGTTGTGTGAAGCTCTTTATTCAGGGGACAAAAGCACTGGGGCTGCTTTAATGGCCCCCAGTCTCTCTCGATGGATTTATTGGCTTCAAACTTGAGCAGTGGCTTCGGGAAGAAAAGCTGGAGAGATCAGTATGGACACCCTTGTTTGGCAGCCATCAGGGCAGGATGTGGAATGGGGCTGGCTGTGGAGCAGAGCCTCTGCAGAGCACTGTGTACCCTCGGGGACAGGAGGTCACTGCCCTCTACACAGATGTGGGACCTGTCCATCTCTGGGTCCCTGCTGCTCCTGCAGGCTGGGATCAAAGAGGAGATGTCCTTCATCCTACCCATGTATGAAGCTATTGGCTGCTCCTGCCACGAGCACTGTGAGGTGGGGAATTATACTGCTGTGGAAATGTCTCCTGTCCTGTAGCAGGACAGACCTTTGCATGCCACAAGGCTGGCTTGGCCTCGCTGGATTTCTGCAAATAAATGCCTGTTCCTCTGTTAACAGAACCCTGCTTGGGACAGTTTGTTTTGAGTCAGGTTCTGTTTTGGAGTCACTGGTCAGTTGCTATGTTCCCATGGCCACCTGCCTGCCTGGAAGAGGTTGCCCCAGCCCCAGCCGGACTCTTGGCCGCACCCAGCTCCTTTTTTCAGAGCATTTGTATCTTGTACTAAATGTAGGCAAATGTGAAAATAGATCCAAGAGCTCCAATCCTGTAACTGCTCCACAGCTCCTTCCAGGCACATTCCTGCTATGGGGTTAATGAGGGACACTCTCCCGTCCTTGCAGCCTTTCCTTCTCCCAGAGCACTTCAGCTGTGCAGGAGCTTCCCTGGTGGAGTTTGAGGGCTCATTGGCTCCCCCTCACTATCCCAGCCTGGAGCCAGCTGCCCCCCTGCATTAGGGATAACAGATATGGTTGTATTAATTTAGAAGGTGGAAGCATTTTGTGGTTTTATTTCTGTGGCTGTAAAACAGATAAACCATAAAATCCCCATCCCAAACCAACCCCGCAGCACAACCAGAGATGGGCACTTGGTGCTTCAGTGGAAAAATACAGGTTAAGCCAAAACAAATCAGAACTGAGTGTTCAGGCTACAACTAAGACTGAGCTGCAGCGCTATATTTAAACATGATATTTTTGTATTTTAATAATTAACCAGTGGGAAAGAACTGCCTAAAAAACTGTAGCATAGGCTATTTTCAAGGTATCTTCTCTTCAGCCCCAAGTCCATGCTGGAGTGCAGCTGAGGAAAGGCTGCAGAGGATAGGGATGCTCTAAAGCAGTGGTTCTCTCTCCAGGTTTGTCCTTCCCCTCATTCTTCTCTGTGCAGCCTCCTGACAGTTAAATCAAGCTGGTCAGCCATAAACCCGTGTTTGAGGTGGTGTGTGAGTCTGTTTGAGGTGTTTGCTTTTCGTGGAGAGCCGAGGGCAGGGCAGGATTTCCCTGGGCATTAATGGTAATAGCTGGAACTGTGCATAACCGTGACCAGCACTTGGCAAGGGAGAGCTGTGAAAGGTAAACCTCTGCCACGTGATTGTTTAATTTCCATTCAGTTTTATATAGCACAAGGCAATTCCCTGCTTTTGAGGAAGAGGTTGTGGGTGTTTCAGTGCATCAGAGGCACCTGCAAGTCCTCAAGGCAGTGTTGGAACTGCAGAGCTGGCAGTGCTGGGGGCTGAGCCTGGACAGCATCAAGTCTCTCTCAAAGTAGGAGAGGGCAGCACGATGGAAACAAAAGGACTTCGCCTCAGAGTTAATTTGAAATTTGAATCCAGCTAAAGATTCCCAGACAAGGTACAAGAGCAGATCCAGCTTAGAGATATACCTTGTCCTGAAGCTGATGGGCGCCAATCTGCAAAGTTTAATGTCCTTAAACTTTTGGAGCTTGAACTGAATTGACCTCAAGATCCAAATTATGCAGCAATCGCTCGGGTTGCAGCAGTGTCTCAGAAATCTTCTGCAGCTCGGGCTTAGTGCGTGTCCATGGAAGGGAGTAGAGCAGCCAGTGCCAGGGCCCTGGGAATTCCCGGTACCTGGGAATGGAGCTGGTTCTGCACCATCCCTGTATTTCCCTCCAGTCTTGCGTGGCCATAATGGTACTTGAGGGCACTGTGAAATTCAAAGGTTTTGCTGGAGAGCATTTACTGCTTTAGGTGTCAAAACCATCTGCTTTGGTGGTTCTTGTTGGAATGAATCCAGCAGGCCTCAGCTGTCTCCCAGTAGTTCCAGCAAAGGTCACATTCAGGTCCTGGCTCTGCCCAGGGGCCAAGGAGCAGAGAATGTTTTTGCCTTAGGGCAGGATCCGTGTGTCCATTGACTCCAAACCCCTCCTAACTGGAATTTCTTTTTAGATCATACTTCCCTTTTCTGCTATATGTGTTGGGATTCTGATTGTTTTTCCAGGATAATTTTGTAATCTCCCAGTAAACAGGCATTAACTGTGTTTCAAGTCCAGTAGAGGTGCTCATCCTCGTGGTTTTCCAGGGGCAGAGGAAATCCTATCCTTAATAGCTCTGTTAGAGCTCACAGGACTGCCTGGTCCCTGGTAAGATTTAACACTGCAGGTGCCATGTCCGCTGCTCCCTGCAGGAGGAGGGGTTTCCTGGAGATCTGCCTTGACAGGAGCCTTGTAAGAGGTTTTTTTGTTTCACCAAAACCCCTCTCTGGTGGAACTCAGCTCCAAGCTGTCCCTGAGTGTGCATGGCAGTCAGATCCAGCCTCTTGCAGCATCACACAGGGAGCGAGGCAGCCAGGGGTGAAGTCCAGGGAAACTTGGACTCCTTCCCCACCTATGTCCTTAAATGACCAGGAGAAAAAAAGTTGAGTAAGAATTGAGGTTCATTCCCCCACTGTATGGCCAGTCACTTTGCATTCAGCAGCAGCTACTCAGAAGTGCCTCACAGGGGTGTTTGCTTGGGAGATTTCCTTCTGGGAGTCTTATTGGAGGCACTTTTTTTGTTTGTTTTGTTTTGTTCCTGCTCAGTTATAGACTGAAGAGTGGGGTAAGCAACCAGCCCTGAGCCTCTCGAGTGTGTCACTCTTTGAGAGACAGTGAGGTTCAGTGCTGAGAGTATTGAAGTGTCTGAACTGACCAGCTGAGCTGCAGTTTGTCAGGTCTTTCCTCTTACAGACTAACCTGGGAATTGTCAGTTCTCCCTCTGCACCACTACACTGAAAGCCTTGATTTACAAATTCTGCTCAAGAATTACTTGAAAAGTTTCTCTTCTCATTTAAGGAGGTCTCCTAAAGGTTCACTGGGAATTGCAAGCCGCATGAATTTATTCTTCTGTGTGTGTGGCAAATGCAGCCATTTCTGTGCAGCTCTTAAGTGGACTCAGACCCATTCCAGCAGAGTTTGTACCTTTTCTTCCTCATTGCCTGAGGTTTGCCTGGAGCTGTAGACTGTGAATCGCTTACATCAGAGATGGAGCTGTCTCCTGCTCCCTCTCCCAGGTCCTTCAGGCATTTGTCCCATGGTGCTGCTATCCCAAATGATCTGTTTTCAAACCCTTTGGAAGCACCTGCTCCAGTGGGAGCACAGCTCCTTGCATAGGATTGGGAAATGTGGTGGTTTAAAAGATAAATCAAGCCAAAAAAAAATTCCCAACAAAACAGTGTGGGGAAGCAAAGTTCTCAGTCTGCTTGCTGGGAAGGAGTGGGTGACAGCATTGCTGCTGGTGTAGGGGGCTGTGTGCCCTACAGGGTGAGTGAAGAGTTTGGGGCTCCTTCCTGACCCCCAGGCTGTGCTCCAGAGGGATGGATTTGTTGAAGCTTTTTATTTCCAGGCACTGGCAAGTTGTGGAACGGAATGCTCTGCAGAGCCTCAACCTCTACATATCCCTTCTGAGCCATCCATCCCAACAAAGACTTACCCAGGCAAGGTGTTCAGGGTACCTCTTGTGGTTCAGAGATACCTTAACATCCTTTCCTGGATTTCTTCAGCTGTCACGTGGGAGGTGAAATCCTGGGCTGCTTTTGCCTTTTCCTTAGGCTTTATGAATAATGCAACCCATGCTTTTATTTTATTTCCAGATTGAAAAAATCATGAGTTCCATCGGCGAAGGCATTGACTTTTCCCAGGAGCAGCACAGGATCTCAGGTAGTATACCCGGCATGTGTCCGTCTGTCCTGGCTGTGCTCTGCACACAAACAAGGTGCTGGCTCCTGTGTGTGGATGTCTTTAACCTGTTTTGGCTCTGGGAGGGAGAGGAATGCTCTGGCACAGGAGGAGCAGACCTGGGTTCCCACATGATGCTCAATGCTGCTGCCAGCAGTTTTAATTCTACACTCCTTGGGAAGATTCCTTTAATTTTACTGAATGCAGCTGCAGGATTTTCCTCCTAGCTCTTTCCGTGAGGGCAGCAGCTATGCAGAGCAGGGCTGGATGGTGCCAGTGGTGGGTCAGTATGGGTGCCATGGTGGCCCTTTGCATGTGTTTAATCTGCCAGGTGCCTCTGGGAGGCTCCTGGGCATTTCTAAGTGCTATCGGTACCCACTGAACAAGGCTCTTGGAGGACACTTAAAATGTGAATTCCCTTCTGTGTCTTTGAATCGTGAGCAAAAGCAGAACTCAAGCTTGCTGGAGAGCTGCCATGACAAGGGATTCTGTCCTTTTAAATCCTTCACCTCCAGGCTGCTGCAGCAGAACAGCTCTGACTCGGGGTGGGCAGCAGCTCCTCCTGATGAGATGCTAGTGCAGATCCGCACACGCAGCTCACATGGGCTGCGACAGAGCTCACCTCATACCCATTTGTCACTCAGGTTTTTTCTTAGGTGAGGAGGAACCCACTGTTCCCAGTGGGAGTTTAGCCTGATTTGAGCTCTGCATTCCAGGGTCAGGTGGCTTTGCAGAGGAGTTGGAACTGTGTGTGGGTTTGTGCTCCCTGCTCTGACAGCCTCCCTGCGCCAGTCCGGGCTGTGATGGATCGATAGCACTAGGGAAAGGTCTGACATGGAGGGAAGAGGAAGAGCCAGTGCTTCTGCAGAGCTGCAGCTGTGCAGGGAGCACTCAGCAAGATGGACACCCTGGAGCAGGTGGGCATGGGAGCTGCTGTGTCTTGGAGCCAGAGGTTTTCCCACAGGCAGTGAGTGCTCTGTCACACTCAGTTTGGGATCCCTCATGCACAGATCTTCTGCTGGGCACATTCCTTGTTTGTCCCTCTTTTCTCTGGAGCAGGCAGAGCTCTGACAGCTCCTCCCTGGGAGCTCCCACACATTTGGCTTTTCCTCCACAGGGCTTTGTGGGACTGTTGTGCTTCAGGTCATGGTGAATGTGCACGGAACTGCAGGAAGCTCTCCAAACGTTCTCGCATACTTAAAATGAGTGAGGTTCGAGGATATTGGGACTTGTGACTAGCTTGGTGTCTGGAAATGTGAAATGCTTTATTGGGAGTTCCTGTGGGGATAAGAGTGTTTGGAGCTGCTTGTATGAGCAGTTACTCTGTACAACTGCCTTGTGTCTGGGTAATGGCTTGGCAAGGCCTTCTTGGAGCACCATCATTTTAGGGATATCAAGCTCCACCTGCCCTTTTTCTTAAGGGAGTTTGGCCTTGGAAGAGATGTTTGTGTCTCTGCACTAAATTTCCATGAGTAGGTGGGGTGATGTTGGTCCAGCACAGCCCATGCACTGATTTCATCCTCCAGAAAAATGCTAACTTCACACTAAAGATTGTTACTGAAACAATAAAACCTGAAGGCTCCTCCTGAACCCTGGGAGCGTCTTCCTCTCTGTGCTGTGGGACTTGAGAAGAGCCTTGCAGGAGGCACCACAGATTTGGGAATGCTGTGATGTCACAAGTCAGAAGTTGTGATCAGGGTCTTACCAGGGGTCACAAAGTACTGTGATTCTTCTGTTCTTGTATCATCCTTGTATCACACAAATATCAGGTGTATTTGGGGCATCTTACTTTTCAGCCTGGGATGTTTTAGGTGTCTGTTCTTCTCTTTGTAAAGGAATTCCCTCCATTCCCTCCCTCCAAATACTTCCCTCTCTTCATTTTGTCATGACTTGAAAGGGTTTTGCAAACAGAAAACCTGCATTTGGTGTCACTGTGGGTTTCCCTTTCAAAAGCAGAAATGTATTTACAAGTGCATGCAAGGCTGAATAAAGTAAGTAATTTTAAAAATTAAATTGAGGAGCTCAGGAGGAGGAGCTGCTGTGGTTTCGTTCTCCCTGCCAATACCCCAACAGCTCCCAGGAATGCTGTGGTAGGCAGCAAGTACTTCCTTACCTCTCTCTTGATAAATTAATTCTGTGCCAGCCACAAATCACTTGGATCTGTCAAAGCAGACCTGTGACATAATTTTTTAAAACCCCCAAGCCATGTTGTCCATCATCGAGTAAATATTGAGGAGTCAGTGATTTCCACTGGAGAGTTACGGAGCCGCTGCCTCCCTCCAGCAGGTGGGAGTGCTGGGAGGGGGGAGAGGATGAGGAGAAGGGAGGGACAGCGTGGGGCTCGCGGCTCAGACAAAGCCGCTGCAGCCGCCGGCGGAGCACAGGCAGCAGCAAGGGGAAAGGATGGAGGGGAGGATGGAGAGCTAGTGTGCAGGAGCTCCTGGCACACAGTCCGGGCTTAGCTGCTGCCCCGGAGCATGGGCTGGCTCAGGGGAGGGAGGCAGAAGCCTTTTGTGATCTCGGCATTGCTGCGTACGCTGGAAGGACCAGCCAGCGCTCCCAAATACCGGCACAGGAGCAACCCCTGGGACCAGACAGCAGGAATTACCCCAGGAATCTGCAGGTGACACCGTGAGCTCTGTGTGTGCGGCCATTGCAGCACAGTGGGGAGGGATGGCTGGAAGGTACCAAACTGCTTCAGCTGACCTGAAGGTTCAAAGGAAGCAAACAGGGGTCTCCTGATCATCCTTTTCTTTGTATCCATGCTGGAAACAGACATGCCAAGGAGCCTGGAAATCTGCCTGTCTTGCATAGCAAATTCCCTGATGATAAGGAGATCTCTGAACTTTTTTTTGGTCATACTTAATGTATTGAGCTTTACTAGAGGAGAGTAACAAGTCACTGAACTCATCCCAGGGGTGAGGGCTCATCTTCCAGGGCTTCCATAGATGTTGGGAGGAATCTCCTTTATCAGAGGCTGAAGAGGAGGTGCCAGGGCATAGCTCAGACTTGAGCTGCTGCAGGAAGAGGAGAGAGTGTGCTTGCATTTGCTTTTTTCCTTTTGCCATGGCTCAGAAGCAGGGAACCGAGATGCCTCCATCCTGCAGAGCTACTCCCCATCTGAGCGAGGGGCTACATGCGGCAGCTGTGCTCGGCTGAAGGAAATGAAGGAAGGGCAAATCCAGGTGTGTGCCCAACACCTGGCAGGACCAGCAGTGTTGGGTGAGAACCATCCTGGCTGTGCTGTCACACCGTGCAGACCTGGGGCTGGGCTCTCTGGGGCCAGCATGCTGGAACGCCAAGCGACGGGATCGCTGGTAGAATGACAGAGCCAGGGCTGCTGACCGTGTGCCTGGGGTCTCCATAACACAGTAACGGTGAGACAAAGCCCCTGCCATGGTTTGCTTCTCTCAGGACTGTTGGGGAGGAAGAGCACAAGCCCTTAATCTCCGCTGCTGCAGTCTGTGCTTCCTTTGTCTTGCGTGTCTTACCGCGGACAGCCACTCTGCCTGGGCTCCTGCTGCTTTCCCGAGCATCCACCGTGTCCGAAGCTGTTTTCTCTCAGGCTGCTCCATGCTCCCCGCTGAGCCGGGGCTGTGTCCAGAGGTGCGCGGATGAGAGGACTGGCAGAGCTCCTCTCCCTTCCGTCGCACCTGCGACTGCCTGGGAATGCCTCGGGTGGAAGTTTGCCGCTCTCCTTCCGCCCCCTTCCGCTGAGCCAAGGAGTGGATCCGCATCCCCGTGGGGTTGGGCTTCATGTGCTTGCCTGGTGAGGAACTCGTGAGCCCTGACAGCAGTGCCTGTGATCTCAGCACCCCAGCAGCACCTCTGAATCTTTGCCCGGGCAAGGAGTTTTTTTGCTGAGTGTGAACTGCAGTACAGATTGGTGCCCGGAGCCCACGGAGGCACTGAGAGCTTGTTGTCCATGCTCTGTGCACACAAGAGGAATTGTCTGCCCGCTGATTTGTTGTACTCTGAGCATAATTTTTTGAGTTTCTTTATGGTAATGACTATGATGTGGCAATGCCATCTGTCCTCCTCAGAGTGCCGCTGCTACCGCCTGAACGGTTTCTCTCTGTTCAAGCGGCTGCCGATTCCTCTCTCGTCAGGTTCGCGGATGCTGGAGCAGAGCGTCGGGGAGTGGCTGGAGTCCATCGGCCTGCAGCAGTACGAGAGCAAGCTGCTCCTGAATGGCTTCGACGATGTTCGCTTCCTGGTGAGTGCACAGGCAGGGACCCCGAGCTCTGAGGAACAGGCTGGCCAAAGCTTCCCGCGTTTCCCCGTGTGGGCGCCGGGCAGAGCCGGGTTCTGCAGCCTGGCACAACGGTCTTGGAGGGTGTAGAAGGTTGGGCAGAAGGAATAGATGAGGGTTATGTTGGATCTTCACGTTTAATTCAGGTGTTACTGGTTTTCTTGCTAAAATTTTGATGGAAAATTTTATTTAATCTGCCCCCTAAATCTTTACTATCCAATTTACTCCAGAAATGGGAACTGAAATTTGCTGGTGTTTTGATGGAACCCCTGAGCAGTCTGTGCTCTGGGCTGTGAAGGAGGCAGCAGACCTCTTGTTGGAACTGTACTTGCTCAGAGCATGCAGGCAGTATGTTAATGAGCTGTACCTAATTGCATTGACACTGTTGGCTCTGAAACCTAATGATGACAACATGGTAATGCTCAGGGTTGAGGGGTTTTAATAACCAGCATCTAGAAACTTAAAGCAGCATGGTGTAAAAGTCCGAGAATTCGTGTGGAATGATGGACGAACTGCAAAGAGGGAAAATCTTGATGCTGCAGGAGGGGTTCTCCCTGCACAGCTTAAAAAAATGCTTTTGAATGTGGACTCTAAGTTTGGCAAATAACAAAAAATGGATGTAAACCTTGGAAAAGTCATTTTGGCTAATGCAGTATCCTGCCTTGGAATGAGAGCAGTGACATTTCTGATGCTGGGGGCATTGCAGAGAGGCGACACCAGGAGGATATGAGCTGGGTGAGGGGTCTGGGAACACACAGTGGCCATCACTGGTGGGGAGGGTATGAGGGGCAGCTGGAGAGACACAGGAAGCCAGGAAAGGGATGGAGGCTCAAAGAAGTGCACACCTGAGCAGCATCTGTTGGGCTACTTAAAGGCAGGGTGTAATTATACTTTAAAAAATGACCTGGCCAAGAGGATAAGTGTTGTGGGATCTATCTAGCTGTGCCTCCTGATCTCCACAGAAAGCAGACAGGCCATTTGCTTTCCCTTCCCCTGGCAGGGCCAAAACTCTCCTCCAGAGCTGGGGTTTGCTATGGTTTTCACCCCGAGTCCCATCCTGGCAGTCCCAAACCACAAAGTGGACTCTTGGCAAGGGATGTGTGAGGGTTCAGCATCCCTGTGTGTGCTGGGACTCTTTGGAGATGGTACAACAAACTTAAATGAAATAACCTTGTGGATCCTCTTGGGATCCCCTGCTGATGGATCTGTGATCATGGTGGGGTCAGTGGCTGCTCTCAGCCAGCAGCTGCAGATAAAACACCTTTCCCTTGCCTGCCTAGGTGTGATGGACCTCACTCAGCTCAGAACTCCAGTAGCAAAGGTTCCTGTGTGTGTCCCTCTATGTGCTGGTGTTTGGTACATGGTAGGATTGTCTGTCTTCATAGCTGGACAGTTTTCTTCCCTGTCCAGTGCTGGGTGGCTGCTCCCAGTGCAGAAGTTGGCTGCTGCTGGATCCAGGGGATGGCACACTCATTTACTCATTCCTGTCAAATTTAAAAGCTCAAATAATTTCACAAAGATTTCCTGCAAACCCCAGCTGATTTCCATTATGCTGCTTATCTCCTTTCCTAGGGAGTTGACCCTGGTACCCGTGCCAGCCCTGAGTTTAAATCCATTCATCCCAGCCCTGAGAACTCCAAGCTAATACATCAACCCAGCAGGAAAGTTGAATTATTTAGAATCTTTCCTTCTGTGGTGTTCCTTGCCTTCAGCTTCTGGTGTTGGGGGAGCAAAACCTTCAGACAGAACACAAGTGAGGAACAAGTAGTTAATTTGGTTCTAGTGGTGTTTTTGATGTTCTTGGATGAATTATTAAAACTGCTGTGAATACTGAAGCTGGGCAGAGCAGGGGCTCAGGACAGCAAGCTCTGAGTGTTGGGTTGCCCAGTCCTTTGCACAACCATTGCTTTACTGGCTGCCCCTTTCAGTCTCTAACAGAGAATATTCCAAACTAAGAACGTTACTTTCCTGGAATTAAACAGTTTCTATGAAAGGATTAGTCTCTCTTAGGGCCTTACTGTGCTCAATATTTTGAGGTCCAAAGAATGCCAGGTAATGGTTTGCAAATCGCCAGGTGGGTTATGAGGTTAATTAAGTTTTAGTAGCCCAAACTAGGAAATTTGAGTCCTTTGATATTAAAACACGTGTTTTCTGTGCAGGATTTTGCATTGCATTGCTCCCTGCTCAGAGAGCTGCAGGGTGTTCTGGCATGCCAGGATGGTCCCTTTGCTCTGGGGTCCCCAGGTATCTTTTGGGGGCAAACCAGTTTTGCAGAAGAAGTGTGTTCAGTGTGCAGAGATTGTGTGGCTACGGAACAGGGCAGTGTCCTAAAAGAGCCCTCTAATTACTAAGGAAGATCCTCATCCCGTAGATACTTAGAGGAGGGTTAAGAACAGTCTAACAAGGAGTGTGTCCTGTCACTGCAGCAGAGACCTGTGAGAGCTGTGTCTGCAGGCACCAGGGTGCTTGGTGCTGTTCTTCACTGGAGAACCAGAGTTCAAAGTGCCCTGTCTGCCCCGGGTGTGGGACAGGGTTGTGAGAGACACAAACTGGGGGTGCCAGGCTTGCTGATGCTCTGGTGGCCTGTACTGCAGCCAGGTCTGGTTTCAGGAATTTTTGATTCCCTGGGTATTTTCAACTGACTCCTGAGTTAATCTATGCCCCATGTCACAAAGGCCTTTACCCCCAGGTAGGGAAATGATTCATGAGCACATTGTGTGTAAAGGGAGTTTGAAAAGTGCTCTGTAAATATATTTGGTTATTTAATTAGATGTTAATATAGGAAGGCAGAAACATGTGCTGTTTCCAAAAATAATAATTCTGTTATTTTCAGAACTCCAGGAACTGGGGATTAGGGGATTAGCTGTGCTCTGGCCAGGTGGCGGCTGCCTCAGTGGACAGGCTGCAGCTGGAGTAGGCAGCAGGGAGGGGGTGAGAGTCCTGCTCCTCTCAGGGTCTGCTGACCAACAGCTGGGAGAGGCTCGGGGGACCCACAGCTCCTGCAGGTGACAACGCGAGCCATGCATGTCTCACAGGCTGTGCTGCGAAAGGGAAAGGTGCTCTGGAACCTCCTCTTTGCTCCTGGGAGTTCCAGCTCTGCATCTGGGACAAAGCTGATCCTGATGAAGCACTGGCTTTGCTTGAGGGTGGGTATCACTGGCACAAGTCAGCAGGATTATTGGGACATGGATGTGACGTGACATTGGAGCGCCCTCGTCCGTGCATGTGTCCCTGGGAAGGGACCAAGGTCTACACAGATCTTGGATTGTGTAATCTTCTCTCTTGGCTGAGGGAAGAAAGGGGTGATAAAAGATGGATTTAGGTAGCTTAGCTTTCCAAAACACTGGAGTTCTCTTCCCACATCTGCATATTGGGCCACATCTCTGTGTCTGCAGAAATTCTGCTACTCCCTTCAAGTTGCCTACAGTAGCCACACCGTGTTTATGGACAAGGCAGGGAGCAGGCTTTCCCTGTTATTTTGCTGCTCTTGAGCACAAACCCCACTTTCCATGACAGCAGCTTCTTTCCCTCACCCTCTGCATTGGCAGCAAGTGACCTTCATGGCCAGCACCACTGCCATGGGGCAGTCGGACTGGGACACTCAGCTGCTGCTTTTCATATAGAGCTGGAATTGGGCAGCAGCCTGTGCAGGCAGCTGGGATTAGAAACAGCTCAAGTGGAGATAGTGCTTCCAATCCTCCTTCTCTGCTCCACAGCCCACTGGGATTCCTTCATCAGAGGGAAAAGTTTATTTGTGCGGTGGGTGAACACAACCGAGGCGAAGCAGCTGGCAGTGGCTGTACTGTCCTTAACTTAGCAAAAATACAGCTCTGTAAGTAGGGTAAAACCCTCAGCAGCATTGCCTGCCAAATGTGAACAGCTCCAGTGAACCAGGAATGCCCACCCCACCACCCAGGAGGTGCTTCCCACGTGGAGGAACGTGGCCCCGTAGCGTGTGCTGAGTTCCAGGAGCCTCATTGCCTCATCCCTCACCAGAGGAGGGGAATGAAAGGTCAGATCACAAAGCTGCAGCAGTGAGTGAGAAGTGTCATCCAGAAAAGTGCACAATAAATGGACTTAATTGTCCTTGGCAGGCAATGAGCTGGGAGAGCAGGAAAAATGTCACTGGAGTATGGACCAAGAGGGATTCTGCTGCTCCTGGAGTGTGGCCCCATCATGTCTGCTGTGCTCACCAGTGCATCTGCCACAGATGCCCCTTTTGGGAAGTCCATAGGAAATGGATTTTGGGATGCCCAGTGCATTCCTGGTCCCTGCAGCCAACAGGGATTAACCCAGGGAAAGAGCAGACTGGACTTTGCCCATCTGGAGAGGACAAGAACGTGGCCATTGTAATGAGAAGGAGTTGTAATAATTGATGGTGGAATTCCTCCACAGCAGTGAGGAAGGAAATGCCATTTACCTGTTCCCTCACACAGTGTTTTGTGATCCCACAGATCGCATAAATCTGTCTGAGATGCTTGCAAAAGCTTTCCCCTTCCCCCAGAGGGCAGGATCTTGCTGCTGCCCCGACAGCTTCCTCTGGGCTGACATCTGAGAAGGGCAAACCCCGCATGCTCTGGCAGTTGTACCAGTGTTCTGGAGTTGAACTTTTTATTCAGTTCAAAGATATTTTGAATCACAAATGAGCAGGTAAAATAGAACATAAACCAATTTTTATGGCTTTTTTTTGTTGTTGTTCAAGCCTGGATTCCCATGGAGTGTGTGGAAAGCAGCTAATGCTGATTCAATGAGACAGCGTCAGAAAGGGAAATCTGTTCTCTGCATGTAGTGCCCTGGGCTCCTCTGGGGCATTTTATTTATTTTTTTATAATTGGGGAGAAGTGGTAGAAAAATGATGGTGGTGGAAGAATGGGGTGTCTGCAAATAGTTGAGAGCACTGACATTAATTTTATTAAATGCAATTAATTTGATTAAATGCAATTCAAGGCCATGTTAGCCTGCGG